TGATTGATAATGGAACATGGGAAATCAAGGATTTATCAGTTGGCAAGAAGGCAATAGGCTGCAAATGGTTTTTCAGAGTGAAACTTCATTCTGATGGATCAATTGAAAGATATAAGGCAAGGTTGGTTGCCAAAGGGTATACCCAGGTTTATGGCATTGACTACTGTGACACTTTTTCACCAGTAGCTAAGTTCAGTTTAGTTAAAACCCTACTTGCAGTTGAAGCAGTGCAGAATTGGCACTTACATCAAATGGATGTAAGCAATGCCTTCTTGAATGGTGACTTAACAGAAGAGGTATACATGGAAATACCTGATGGTTTGGATTTGGGAGTTAACTACAAAGGAAAGGTCTGCCACTTGAAGAAATCCCTTTATGGGTTGAAACAGGCAAGCAGACAGTGGTATACTAAGCTCACTGAAAGCTTACTGAAGCATGGATTTAAGCAAAGTTCCTCAGATTACTCTATTTTTACAGCTTAGATTTTTGGTGCACTTGTTGTGCTCATTGTGTATGTTGATGACATTCTGATTGGAAGTGTGAGCTTGGAATCCATTAAAGAAACCAAAAGAATCTTACAAGGAGAATTCAAGATGAAAGATTTGGGAGAATTGAAGTACTTCCTTGGTCTGGAAGTGACAAGAGGAGTAAGAGGCATTACTGTTTCTCAGAGAAAATATTGCCTAGAACTCCTAGCAGAATCAGGTTTTTAAAATTGCAAGCCAGCATTTACTCCAATTTATGTTAAGGAAGTGTTGTCTGCTACAGGGGGCATTCCTTTAACTGATGTTGCAAGTTACAAACACTATGTAGGACAGTTGCAATACTTAACAACTACAAGACCAGATATTGCATTTGTTGTACAACAGTTGTGCACATATCAGGACAATCCTACAAGTTTGCATTTAAGAGCCTTACAAAGAGTACTTAGGTACCTCAAAGGGGCACCTGGACAAGGCCTTCTTTACCCTAAGGATATTAAACTCGAGTTGAAGGGATTCAGTGATTCAGACTGGGCTACCTGTCCAGATACTAGAAAATCCATAACTGGATATTGTACTTTTCTTGGATATGGAATTGTCACATGGAAGAGCAAAAAGCAGAAAGACTATCCAGATCCTCCTCCGAAGCAGAATACAGGGCCTTGGCTAGCTTGAGCTATGAAGTTGAATGGTTAATCAGACTACTCAAGGATTTTTGAGTAGAACATCCTCAAGCAGTCAAGGTATTTTGTGACAACCAGTCAGAAATTCATATTGCTGAAAATCCAGTGTTCCGCGAGAGAATGAAACATATTGATGTGGATTGTCACGTGATAAGAGAGAGGGTACAGTCTGGGTTGATTGCTTTACATCATGTACCAACTGATTCTCAACCTGCAGACATCTTCACCAAGAGCTTATCTGTGGATCACTTTGCATCTTTGTTGTCCAAGCTGGGAGTATATAATATATACTCGCCAGCTTGTGGGAGGGTAATAGAGAGGCGAGATGATCAACCTCTAGGTGATGTGAGTTGCTCAGCAGCAACCAAAATGTGCAGCTCTGCTCTAGAAACGAAGAACAAGATGAAGAACAAGGAGCAGAGCAAAACGGAGACGTTTGGCTTCAAGTGCAGCCAGAAGGAGAAGGCAATCATCAATAATCAGACCACGGATGTTGGGATATTACAGAAAATCTTTCAAAAGAGCTTCTAGCTGCACACGTGGAAGATAATGATGAAAGACAAGAAACACAGCAAAACAATGAAATTGAACCTCCTAAGCAGTCTGTATTGGCTCTACCAAGTGAGGAACCTCCTGAAGACACAACAGGAACAAAAGTCACCTTAGTGACTGTACAAGAGAAGTCCACGGGACCAATTTTGACACAGAATCCAGAGCAGGAAAGAGGGGGATATAGCGGTAAGAAATGGACCAGAATCGTGGGACATAGAGTTCCTAACCAAAGCAATGAGCAAGTTCAGCTAATGGATTTTCGAAAATGAGGGACACCGGATGCTATGGACGTTGTTGTGGTGTCCCTGGTGGAAAAATGCCCGAGATCGATCTCTTCCTCTATTGTGGATGGGGATGTGGCGGTCCTTGCCAAGGAGCAAGGCCGCCCAGCCCAATGAAAGTATTAAGCTACAACTGTCGCGGTTTGGGAAGCACCACGTCAGTTGCAAAATTGAAGAAGCTCGTCCGAAAACAAAACCCACAGTTGCTTTTTCTTATGGAGATGAAAAAAGATGAGAAAGGATGGCAGGAAGTTCAGAAGGAGCTTGGTTTCTATGAGGGCATTGGGGTTGCCGCGAGTTGTATCAATGGATGGAAAGCTGGGGGGGCTTTGCTTTTTATGGTCTGAGGATTTAGTGGTTAATAAATTGGATGCCTCTCTGCACCACATTGATGTTGTGGTTTCGTCAAACGATGAAGGAGAACGGTGGAGATTTACTGGCTTCTATGGAAGGGCAGCGCGTGATGAGAGATTCCAGTCCTGGGATCTGCTATGTGGCTTACGGAATGGTTGCTCTTTACCATGGGTTTGTATGGGGGATTTCAATAAGATTCTATCGGGAGATGAAAAGAAGGGTGGGAGAAGCATAAATGAGTCGTAGGCTTCTGAGTTCAGGGAAGCTTTGGAATTTTGTGGTCTGTTGGACTGTGGCTATGTGGGCTACCCATTTACATGGGAAAACAATCGTTCAAATGAAAGATCCATTGTGGAAAGGCTGGATAGGTGCGTTGCTAATTGGGATTGGAAACTAATGTACCCAAATCATCAGGTCATCCATCTTGACCGATGTGGATCTGATCACTATCCGATAATCCTCTTAACGGCAGGAAAAGAGGAGGAGGAAATCAAGTGGGGTTGGTATTTCAAATTTGAACCCTTTTGGCTCAAAGATCCGGAAAGTGGGGGTATTGTTAAAAAAGTCTGCGAGGACAACCCAGGGGGAGACTTATCTACTATTCTGAATGACTGTAAAGCAGAACTCACACACTGGAGTAAGAACAAGTTTGGTGACATCAAGAGAAGGATTGGCAGAATTGAGAATCTCTTAAAGACCTTCAAACACAGACCGAAGACGAGCTTCGTTGTTGAGCAGAGAAAGAAGTTAGAAAAAGAGAGAGCGGAGCTTATAAATCAGGAGGAGATGATTTGGAAGCAGAGGTCGAGGACGGACTGGCTGAAAGGAGGAGATAAAAACACAAATTTTTTCCACACTAAAGCTACTGCTAGGAGGAAGAGGAACACTATTAGGATGCTGCAGGATGATAGAGGAAGACTCTTCAAGGGTCAAAATGAAGTCATGGGATGCCTTGGTGATTATTATCAGACTCTATTCACAAGGGGTCCAGGCTCAGATTCTGATGAAGTGATTCAGGCGATCGATAAAAGGATCACCCCTACTATGAATGAGAAACTTTTACTGCCTTTTCAAAGCTGGGAAATAAAAGAAGCACTTGACCAGATGGCTCCCAACAAAGCACCGGGTTCAGATGGTTTCTTCGCTGGATTTTTTCAACACAATTGGAATGCTATTGGTCACAAGGTAACGGAAACGGCCCTAAACTTTCTAAATGGAGGGGTCCTCCCACCAGAACTAAATCACACTCTTCTTGTTCTTATTCCTAAGGTGAAGAACCCTGCTACTGCTAAAGAGTTTAGACCTATCAGCCTCTGCCTGGTCATCTACAAAATCATCTCAAAGGTTTTGGCTAACAAATTGAAACTGATTCTTGATAATATTATTGCTGAAGAACAAAGTGCCTTTGTTCCAGGGAGAAGTATTACTGACAATATTATTGTTGCTTTTGAATGTTTCCAGTACATGAAACAAAAGGAAAAAGGAACAGAAGGTTATTTTGCGGCTAAACTCGACATGGCCAAGGCCTATGATCGCGTGGAATGGTTCTTCCTAGAAAAGGTCATGAGGAAAAATGGGTTTTGACAAAAGATGGATTGATTTGATCCTCAAGTGTGTCTCAACGGTCTCTTATTCGGTGCTTGTGAATGGTCATAAATCTGAAAGCTTTGCTCCTTCCAGAGGGCTGAGACAGGGCCACCCCCTGTCCCCTTACCTTTTCTTATTGTGTGCAGAGGGATTCTCGGTTTTGATAAAAAAGCAGAAAGGAATGGATGCTTAAATGGAATCCAGATCAGGAGGAAAGCTCCAAAGATTTCACACCTTCTTTTCGCGGACGACAGTGTGGTGTTTGGAAAAGCAAGCATTAAGGAATGTGACTATCTGAAGAACCTTCTCAACACCTATGCTAAGGAGTCTGGGCAGGCAATAAACTATAACAATTCAGATATCTCTTTCAGCAAAAATGTGAGGGTGAGTAGAAGGCTAGAAATCTGTGGCACTCTGGGAATTATAGAAGTTGAAAAGCACCCTAAGTATCTGGGCCTTCCTACAGTGGTTGGCAGATCAAAGAAGGCGATCTTCGAAGAAATAAAGGAAAGGGTTAGGAAAAAATTAAAGGATTGGAAAAGCATAACGTTATCGCAGGCGGGGAAGGAAGTTTTGATCAAATCGGTGGCACATGCACAACTTATGTATCCTATGAATGTGTTTCTGATTCCTGAAGGTACTATAAAAGAAATTCAAAGCATGATCTTTAATTTCTGGTGGGGACAAAAGAGCAAAGAACCAAAGTTTCATTGGATTAAGAAGGAAGAACTGTGTGACGCCAAGGAAGAGGGAGGTATGGGAGTTAGAGATCTACGAGCTTTTAACTTGGCTATGCTGGGAAAACAGGTCTGGAGGATTATGGAGAAACCCGAATCAGTTATGGCCAAAACCCTTAAAGCTAGATATTTTCCCAAGACTGACATCCTAAATGCAAAGGAGGGGTACAGACCTAGTTTCATTTGGAAGAGCATTGTTACTGCTAAGAAAAGATTGCTTAGGGATTCAGATGGAGAGTCGGGGATGGGAAGTCGATCAGAGTGTGGGATGATGAATGGATACCAGGGAAAAGCTTCTATCAAGCTGACCCACAACCCATAGATATGGACAGCAATGAGTATGTTTGCGATCTTATCAATCAAGATGAGTGTGGCTGGGATCTAGCAGTGTTACGTGAGAAGTTCTCAAAGGGTGACTATGATCTTATCTCCAAAATACCTATTCTATTCCCTCTCCGAGAAGACAGGAGGGTTTGGAAGGATACTGATAATGGCTTATACTCTGTTAAAACGGCCTACAGCAGAATCCGGGGACAGCAACAAAGCTCTCAGTTCAGGAATTATGTCCCATCTAATGAGGATATTGAGTTCTGGCAAGGTTTATGGAAATTAAACGTCCCCCCAAAGTTTGGATTTTCCTTTGGAAAGCTGGGAGGAATATATTACCTGTGGGCTGCAACATTGCTGGATGGATGGAGGATGCTTGCCCAGACTGTCCCTTTTGTAGCCTCCCTGAAAACCAAACGAACGCCTTGCGCGATTGTAGCTGGATCAGTGGAAGATGGCGGACATGGGAAGGGAGAGAGCTGTATGAGATTGGGGAAGGAAAATCATGTCTAGACTGGTTCAAGGAAGTATGGAAAAAATGCGACCAAAAGAAAACTCAAGAATTTGGGGCGGTGATGTGGTACCTGTGGAAAGAAAACTGCAACCATCTGAATAATAATCACAAGATGGCTGAGGACGAGATCATCCCTCGTGCGATGGCGTGGTTAGAAGCATATATGGATGCCCTTGGCCCTCTGGGCACTATTTCCATAGGGGGGAACAGGAATCCGGCGAATGAAAATTGGACTCCACCGCCGGAAGTTGTGTTCAAATTAAATGCGGACGCAGGGTTTTTGCAGCAAACCGAGACGGGTCTGGGGTGTATTCTCCGGGACTGGTGGGGAGAGTTCAGAGGGGCTACTGCGATGAAGGACAAAGGAAAATGCAGGCCGATTGAAGCCAAGGCAAGGGCGATCTGGATGGGTCTCCGGGAGGCAAATCGTAGAGTTCTCAGCCCTCTCGTTGTGGAATCGGATTGCCTAGTTCTTATCAATAAGTTGAAGAAGAAGGAAGGAGATCGGACTGAGCTTGGTAGTTGGTGCGAAGAGATTTGGAGGATGGCAGATGCTAACGCCTCCTTATATGGGAAACATGTGGAATGGAGTTTCTCACCTCGGAAGAGTAATACGATTGCGCATTGGCTTGCTCACTCGGTGGGAGTTTGGGAACACCAGGTGGTTTGGGTGGATGAACCTCCCTTATCCTTACGTGTTTTGATTGAGGCCGAGTTGGGCAGGGCTCCACCAGGCCCATTGTAATGTTTTTTCTCTGTTGAATATTATGAATCTAGGTTCTCGTAAAAAAAATAAAATCTTAATTTCCAACCAACCGTCTTCCCTCTCCGCCGGCAACCTCCCTTCTCCGCCGCTGGCCACCATCGATTTCAGCACTTCAGTCCTGTTCCTGTACATCATCCTCTGTATCACCTCCACGTGGCTATTTTCCCGGCGCCAGATGTACGCCGTGTTTCGACACGCTTCGTTGTCACCCACCTGGACCGATAATTCCGATGGCATCAGTTCGAGGCCAAAAGCTCGGTTGGATATTTTCAGTACGAGGTAGGCTCCGTATTTGGTGTTAGCATTTCCGTGTCAATTTTTCCTTGGATCTCGAACCACGTTATTGTCCGCAGCACTGCGACTTCCGAGAATCTGAAAAAGGAATCAATCATTGTCGCCACCAAGTCAGAAAGTTCATTACTTATGAGTTTCAGAATTCGAATCCCCTGAAATTCTTAGTCTGTTTAGTGCTCTAGAAAAAAGTTTCTACCTTGATTCGGGAATCGAAGTCCAAGCCCAGTACATTGATTCACTGCCCCAAGTGATGGAAAGATCTCTCGCCGACAATTCGTAACATTTATTCCCGGACAATTTCTCCAGCTTCAACCTCTGCAAGAAAATCCCCAAAATATACTATAAGATTAGGGAAAAACCAAATGGAATGAGTGAAAACAAAGCTAAATTTGTATTAAAAAACCAGAAGAAGAAGCAAATAATCGCTGAACAGAAACCATTTAGTGAATTCCTTCAATCCAATTAGTAGATAGAAAATAAATTTACAAAAAAGCCTACCTTTCAGCCGCTGTCGACGAGAACAGAGTCGCAGAGCTTGCGGTAGAGCTTCTTCTTGGAGGAGAATTGGAGGGCAGGAATGGAATCGGCGACAATGCGTCGGTAATCGGACGGGAGGAAATTCTCCCAGACGGTGTCGGAGTCTGCGACAAAATGAAAATCGGAGGAGACCGCTGACGATCGGCAGGCGTCGTGTGGGGAAGTGAAGCAGAGGATTGAGGAGAGACAGTCTTCCGGCAGTGCGCTGATGAACTCCATTTCCATTTTTCGGATTCGTCGCTAAGAAATGTGAGAACATTTCGTCTCTGAAAGTGATTGAATTAGATGGAAAAGATGTTGTTGCGTAGAGCGTGAGACCTTATACCTGTCTACCAAATAACTTGACCACAATTTAAATTTAATGACAATGTTCGGCACAAAGAAAATTAAGAGACAGATTTAATGATTAATATAAGTACTAACTAACTCACAGCCTTCTGCTTCTTTCAACACGACTAAACTTAATTAATTAAAGTATCACCCTCACTTAGAAAAATAATTCGAACCCCACCTAGTAACCCTTAAGTCTAGAGCTGGGAAAATAGACCAGACCGTTAGAAAAACCGTGGTCCAAACCGTACCACACAGTTTGGTCCGGACCGTAGACTGTTAAGTATGGTCTGGTCTGGTCCATGGTCTGTATTATCTTATGTTTTAATCTCTTGGTCTGGTATGGTCTAGATCGCGGTTCACCGGACCAAACCGTGGACCCAACTGACTTGTCAATACGTGTTAACAGCCCATTCGACCACTCTCCCAACTCCTACAACGACACACAAGTATGAACCTTAGTTTTGTGAATCTCGTCCCTCCTTCATTCACAACCACATTTAACCAAGGAGTAGAGATAATCGTGTCTCCATATGACATTATGTTAATGTTTATGACGCTATGGTGCAAGTTGGGATGCTTTTACTTTGTATCTTTGTTATGTACTAAGATTTAGAGTATCAAAATTATTCATGCATGTTAAGATTAATGATTTAAGGCAAATACCAATTATTTTTCCTGGTTATTGGTTCAATTTTTTGTGTGGTTGACTAAACAAATTATTCATTTTTCGTTGAGTGTGGTCTATGTGGACCAGACCAGACCGAACCAGATCGCACAGGCGTGGTCTGGACCAGACCGTATAGTCTGGTATGTGGTCTATACTTTAGCCTCTCGGTCTGGACCATAGACCGTATATATGGTCTGGTCTGGACCAGACTGCACCGTTTCCCAGCCCTACTTAAGTCTTACCCGAATGGGCCTATAAGCCCGATTGATGGAGATACAGGAATGTAGAACACGAAGGCCCAGTCCAATCAATTCCTAGACCCGACCAATTCTTTTAAGTGAAGAACTAAACGACTGAGTTTTATTTTAAACTCATTCTACCCTTCACGCGTGTGTAGTTTTCAATCAAACAGAGACCAATTTCACTTTGAGTGAAGAACAATGGAAGAACACCAAGAACACAGCAGTATGAACCCAGAAAATTAAGAAGATTAAATCAAACGAGGTTTCAACAATTTCTCCAACCGAGTTCTGGTTGCTCGTCTCCCTTAGTTGCTCTTGATTAAACTTCCCTGCACAATCAGACTTGAAACAGAACACATACACAGTGGCGCATACAAAACACAAAAACTGAGAAGCAGAATAAGAACACATCCCACGATTTTTACGTGGTTTCCAGTATTGGGAGAATGAGGATCCCAATACTGACTACTCCACGATCGGAGACTCACTGTTGTGTGATCTCCGACGATTCAATAAATATATTACGTTGAAGTTCGATGTAAGTCTATCTACCCAAGAACCCTTTGATCAATCTCAACCCGATTGATCAAACACTCTCTTCTCAAACCCCGAATTGCTTCCCCAGCAACTCGTAACAGTATTTCCCCAACACTAACCCTCAAAGTAATTCTCCGCGAACCCTTTGAGAAACCCCCTTTTCTATCAACCTTGCTACTCTCTCACAAAATCCCCTTTTGTCTTAGCTAGCTTTGTTGATTACTTGAAAAGGTTGCCCATCCTAGTTCTTCAGATTGCCTTTTATAGGCTGAAATGTAGCTGATGGTAATTGATTCAAATTCCCTTGAGATCTTCATGTAAGGTAAGTTCTTATTTTTCTTTCTTTGGCCCGAGAACTTGCCTTAACTGTTCTTTGGACAGCCACCTCATTTCTAGCTGTGATTTGAATCTTTGCCTTGCCCTTCAAGCTGCTCCTGCAGTTAACATTCTCTCCCTCAGCTTGTCAATGGCCAAGCTTCTCCCCCTAAACTTGTCCAAGGTTCATTTTAAGCTGTTCAAGTATCTGCACACTTAAACAAAAAGTTGGTGTATCCTGTCCAACTACTAATGACTAATACGTGATCAAAAAGACAACTGGGAGTCCATTTTATTCATTAACAGAATGACCAAAGCTCATTCAATACTAATACTCAGCAAGACTTATTCTCAAATCAACCAAGCAAGACTCAATGACATAACGGACTAAGACTCAAAACCAGACAACCGACTTCTACTTTAAATAACCGACCCACACCATTCAACTAACACTAATTCAGCCATGGATCTCCCCCTAAACCAAGTATCCGAACAAATCCTAGTAGGTGTATTCCGGAGACGAAGCATACTCAGATGGATCGACTTTCTCATCCTCCGAAGGTATGAATAAAACCCTGTTGACTTTCTTGCCTGAGGAGTTGGCCTCTTTTCCCTTTAGTGACAAGGCAAAGTCACGGAGGAGGCTTTTTCCTTCATTTTCCAGCCTTACCCCCTCCTGAATATGCTCCAAATTCAAAGTCTTCTTGCGCTTTCCCGAAGATTCTGCAATTCCCTTTCCCTTGTCAAGTCTGGAGATTTCATCAGCTGTGTATACTGCTGCCGTGTCCTTTAACCAGATTCCCTCTTCATTGTCGTCTTCTTCTGGTTCTAGTTCAGACTCACAGTCTGCGGCTTTGTCTCCCCCTTGAACTTTGGCAAGTTTACGGGGTCCAAGCCCCGAGAGGGTACGTCGCAGGACATGTTGCGCTTGCAGGTCAGAATGGACATCACGATTAGTTAGTTTCTCACACAGATCGACCCCTACAAGCGCCAGCAGTGTGGTGATTTGCGGACCGAAAGGTAGCTTCCCGCCGCAATCCTCTTCTCGATATTTAATCATGTGATTAAACATGAGAGAGGCATAGCTGATTGAGCAGCCTGTTCTTGCATTAAATAGAATCCAGAGATCAGATTCTTCAAGAGTCGTGGCTGTTTCAGCATCGCGAGGAAGGAACATGTGCGTGATGTAGAATTGAAGAGCTTTCAGATCATCGGGTAGCCGTTCAACGGAAAACATGGAGGACTGATACTTCCCAGAATCTCGGGCGAGATACGACATGGTGTCGGTAGGATGAAACCCATAGCTGTCGAATTCTTTTGTTGTGCCTGCTGTATATCCACCGTGAGGGAGATGTATCAGATTGGCCAGCATATCAGGGGTGACAGTCACACTGAAATTGTAGACCGTGGAGGTGAAGTATGACGGATTGAGGCCAGGTCCACACTGCATACTTGCGTAGAACATCCTCACGGCTTCAGGAAGTTGATCAAGGAGCTGATTTTTGAGCAGCGAGCTCCACCCGAGGTCATTTAAATACCCATTGACCCGCAATCTATATCGATTGAAGGTAGTCGGGGGTATGAGGAACGAGGGGTGGAGACCACGATCACTGTAGCTACGACGAAACTTGGAGTAAGCCTCAGCGTTTTGGAAACCCCGATTGGTGAAAATTGCAGCGGGGGTAAGAGTCACATTGAGCTGGGGGTTGCTCGGTGCCATGATGCGACAAAGAGTGAGGTCTGCTGCTTTTGATGGTGAGGCTGGGAAGGGCTAATTTTGATTGGGAAGTTGGGATGAAGATTCCCATGGCCGAGTATGGCTTTTATACTGGCTGATAGGGAACGCGTTTGGAAAGTTTTCGGGAAGGGGAAGCTCGAATATGCTCGATTGGAATAATGAGTTCTGACGATATGATTCTACTGCATCTGCTGGCGGGAGATTTACCCTTCCTTTTGTCGATGATTCGAGAGGAGATACTGAGGGAAGGGATTCGAACTAAGAGAAAAGTTAGGGATTTAGACAGCTGGAACTCGATCGAGCCGACAACTTAGGG